CTGCCACAGGTGAGGCGGGACTGGCCTTGTCTTGCCACACCCCGTCCTCATAAAACCTCAGAAGTAAATCACTAGAGTCAAAACCAAGGCCAAACCTGCCTTCAGGCAGCACTCTTAGGTTTGGCAGGTTTTAGAAGACAAGGATCTGATTGCAAGGGGACTGGGGAAGGGCCAGGGGCTCGGATACCTGTCTTGAAGCTGTTCCCATAAAAAGCACAGGACCTTTTTCTTCTGTTGATGTGTATATAGGATGGCTGAGGTCATGCTTATATACTAAGCACCTTATTTTTTTAAATGGATGGAATCGTTTTAGGATAACCAGGGTGGGGCGTTAATAGCTACTGGAGCGGCTAAAGTCCTACCCATTTAAATCCCCACTCCAGCAGCCACTTCTATTTAAAAATATATATATATATTGCTTACATTTCTTAACCTAGGTAAACTCAGACTTGGAAAATGTCCATTCAAAAAAGCTTGAGAGGCTCTCAGCATTTTCAAGGTCTTGCTGCCTCAGGGGCGTAGTGAAAGTTAAGTGAGGAAGTTGTCTGCAAGCAGGCATTAATTTTCTAAAAGTTACAGGCAAGAGAATAGGGTCTGGAGACGGAACCTAAGGCTAATTCAGGCTGACTTCCTAGAACTAAATCAAAAGGAAAACCCCAACTTTCCAGCTCAAGTAAAAAAAGGACCAGAGGCTAATCCCTTTGCAACCCCCACTTTGGGTGCCAGATGAAAAGTTGAAAGTCCCCTCTGGCAACCAATCAGGCTGGTGGCAGGCCAAGTCTTTATTTGCATAGGACATAACTTTGTAACTTCACTTCAGCCTCTGATTGGTTGACCACTACTTCGTTTACATAGTGTGCACACCAACTAACCAATGGGAAACCTCTAGAGGGTATTTAAACCCCAAAAAATTCTATAATCGCTGGTTGCTTAGGCCCTTCCTACCCTGTGGAGTGTTCTTTGGTTTACAATACATCCGCTTCATTCTTTCCTTGCTTTGTTTGTGTGTTTTGTCCAATTATTTGTTCAAAATGTCAAGAACCTGGATACCCTCCACCAGTAACAAAGCTCTTAGAAATTATTATTATTGTTATTATTTTTTTTTAAAAGACAGGGTTTCACCATGCTGATTAGGTTGGTCTTGAACTCCCGACCTCAGGTGATCCACCCACCTTGGCCTCGAAAGTGCTTGGATTACAGGCGTGTGCCACCACGCCCAGCCTAGAAATTTTTTTAAAAAATTTTATGGTGAAGCATAGTATGTAGTGAGGAAATGAGGAGGTATGGTATGTACAGTTCAATGAAATTTTCACAAAGGGAACAGTCCCATGTTACCTGGATTCGGATAAAGAAACAGCATTATCCGCATCTTCAGAATCCCCCATGTTCCTTGCCGGTTACTATCCCCCAAAGACAACATTAGCCTGACTTCAACAGTCAAGATTAGCTTTGCCTTTTCTTTATATAAATGGAATTATATAGTAAATACTTATTTTATTTAACATATGTGTGAGATTCATCCAGGTTGAACAAATTAGTTGCTCACTCATTCTTGTTGCTATGTAGTATTCCACAATGCCACTATATCACCATGTACTTGGAAGTTTCTAGATTTGAGCCATGATGAATAGTGTTACGATAAATATTCTTGTATATGTGTTTTGGTAAATAAAAGTATGCATTTCTCTTGGGTGTATACCTAAGAGTGGAATTGCTGTGTGATAAGTTACATGTATATACTCAGCTTTGATAGATATTCCCAAATAATAGATAATTCCACAGTATTTGATTGTTCTAGTTGACACTGCCATATTCAGTGAGAGAGCGTTCTCTGGTTGTCCCTCATACTTTTTTTTTTTTTTTTTTACCCACCTGCAACTGTCTTGATTGAGTTATATATATATCTTTTTTTTTTTTACTTTTTTTTCTTCCCCTCCCCATCTTGGTTGTCCCTCATTCTTACCAACAGTTGATATTGTCAGCTTTTTTCATTTTATCCATTTGCTGTGTATAATTATAACTTATTGTGGTTTTAATTTGCATTTTTCTGCTGATTAATGAAGCCAAATATCTTTTCATATGTTTATTGGTCATTTCAGTATCTTTTGCCTAAATTGCCTGTCAGTTATCTTTATATCATTAGTAATAATCTTTCTATCCCCCTTTACTTATTTATGTTTGTTTTGTTAAATGTCATATTTTTTGGTCCCAATTCCAAATTCCTAGAAGGGAGAATCTTACTGGCCCAGCTGTGTTCAGTTATCTAATCTTGGTTCAATCAGTTGTGGCCAAGGAAGAGGGTTGGGGCCCCACATTTATGCATGAGGAAGTACAATTAAGGAGATCATCATGAAGAAGACACCTCAAAGAGGTGGTGATCAGTTCCTCTGGGAAGCAGTAAACAGGGAGTTTTTCATCCCACTGCGGTGCTAGCCAGAAGACTAAAAGTAGTGGCACATTGGTGAGTAGAATTACCTCCCCCTTACCTGGGAGAATGAGGCCACTTCCTGCCCCTGGGCGGTTTTCAAACATCTGCTAGAGTTGATGAGTAAGAGCTGATGTTGCCCTGCAGGAACTCTAGTCATTCAGCATCCATTCATTCATTCAATGTTTGCTCAGCATCTGCTGCATGCCAAACACTCTGCTTAGTCCTTGAATTGCAGCTCTGAATGATTTACTATTTTTACAGTATTTGTAAATGCTACTATATACACAAAATGCTGACCAATATTATATAAAATGTCATGCAGCCATTAAAAAAGGGGGATACACATATAAAAATGTGGCCCAAACTCTTCTGCAGCTTGGACTTTTAGTCATCTATATCTCACCTACATTGAAAATTTTCTAATGTGCTGGATTGTGCTAAATCAATTTGGTTAAACTGATAAGCACACTTCCAGAATGCCCTGCCAACAAGTCTCTGGGTTAGAGCTGGCCAAAAGAGGACCTGGGGTGAGATTTGGAAGGCAGAGTGGAAGTGTCAGCCACTCCTCTGTGGAAATCTTCTAGTCAGATGCTGTGACAGACAGAGGTGCCCAGCAGATAGGTTGCACCTAGTCCTCCACCCATTTGTGACTCTCCTCTCGGATTATCCCACAGTGCCTTGCTGACTTTCACTTCCTCAGCTCCTTCAGGCTTTGGGTAAAGTCTCATTCCTGTAATAAAGCCCTTATTACCATAATACCCATAGTGGCTCTGCTCCCCTGAATGAACTGTATTGATACACCTAATCATAAAGGGAGACATGTCAAAAAGGTGGTTAGGAGTGTGGGCTCTGGATTCCAGTGACCTGGGGGTGAGGATTAAGAGAGAGATTCCATTTGCAGCACCTGCCACATAGTTACCACCCAATATACGTTATATAACACATAATAAGTAATGGCTGTCTTCATGGGCCCTCAGTGCCCAGGACATTGTTTCTCTCTCTCTCTCTCTCTCTCTGATGAGGTCTCGCTTGTCAAAGGCTGGTTTGAATTGGGCTCAAATGATCCTCCCAGCCCAGCCTCCCAAGCAGCTGGGATTACTGGCGTGAGCCACCACACCTGACTTCTGTTGATCTTTAATAGACTTCCAATTGGATTTCCACTTTCCTCGAGCCACTGTCCCTCTCTCTATCAGTGGATAACTCCACATCCACAGTATTTTTTAAACTTGAAGTGGGGTAAGACTGGAGGAGGGGTGGAAGGAGGGGAAAGGAAGGTCGGATGGGTGCAGGGCGGGGGTTGGTGGGAATGGCCTGGGCAACCTGCCCTTCCGCATGTGGAGGTCTGGATGTCTCTCCATAGTGCAGTGTCAGTGTCCTACATCTCAGATCTCTCCTGCCTCCTCCTGTGCTTTCTCTTCCAACAGCCATAGCCTGCAGCTCTTCTTTGTAGGAGGCCTTTGCCCAGCATCTACTGTGGAAAGCCTAGGACTTCAGTCTCCCCAGGGTGTGCCCTCCCCAATTACTGGCAGGTGGGACTGTGAACACCTGGCTCCCTTGCCTTCACCAGCTCGCCTTAGACTCCAGAGCTCCTGGTGGGCCACTCCAGGCCGAAGCTGCCCTCTCCAGGACTTTACCTGCAATTGCCCCCTTGCCAGGTTTCCTCCCCTTTCCTCTTCTGCACTCCCAACTCTGCTTACCAGCTCTCCTCAGAGCACTTCCTTAAATAAGTCATTTGCAGGGAATCCTCATTTCAGGGTCTGCTTTGGGAAACCCATCCTCACACCGAAATCCCCTAAGGGCATATGAAAGCTGCTCCTCCAGGCTGGGCAGGGTGGCTTACACCTGTAATCCCAGCACTTTGGGAGGCCAAGGCCAGTGGATCACGAGGTCAAGAGATTGAGACCACCCTGACCAACATGGTGAAACCCCGTCTCTACTAAAAATACAAAAATTAGCTGCACGTGGCAGCACGCCTCTAATTCCAGCTACTCAGGAGGCTGGGGCAGGAGAATCGCTTGAACCTGGGAGATGGAGGTTGCAGTGAGCCGAGATCATGTTACTGCACCCCAGTCTGAGCAACAGAGTGAGACTGTCTAAAAAAAAAAACACATTCTATTTTTAGAATGCCCACAGTGACCCTCCTTCACTTGAGTGACAGTAACCATTGTGTGTGAACTACTCGTGCCACATCCCATAAGCCTCTGTGATGACTCTGTGTTCATGTTCCCTAGTGAACTGCCCTTGAGCACAAGGACTTACATCACTGAAAGCCTGTTCTCCCCCGATCCCAAGAGTCATCTAACCTCATTCTTACTTACATTCAAAGAAAAGAAGACAAGATGACAGATAGGAGCACTAGCTTTGCAGTCAGATACTTGAATTTTAATCTTGAATCTCTGTGATCTTTGCAAGTCTTTGACTTCTCTGAGCCTCAATTTCCTCATCTGTAATATGGGGATAATAATAGCACCCACCTTACAGCATTATTGCATGGATTAGAAGTAATATGTGAAAAATCCTTAGCACTGTGTATGAGACATAGCCCTGGAAGAAAGAGCCCCACACAGAGAAATAAGGCTTGTAGGTTTTAATGTTTCATGACTGGTAACAGAGTAGTCTCAAGGGGATCCTTGGAGAACCTGTTCTGACTTTAGAAGCACTTCCTGTGGACAATGGAGGGCCCTGCCTCATCATACTCCGGCTTGCTGATCCACATCTGCTGGAAGGTGGAGAGAGAGGCCAGGATAGAGCCCCCGATCCAGACTGAGTACTTCCGCTCTGGGGGAGCAATGATCTGTAAAGAACAAATGTGGTGAATCATGATCAGTCCCCAAGGGAATAAGCAAGGTGATCCAAAAATCTACTTATCCCAGAAAAGGGCAGCTCCATGGTCAGAAAAGAACAGGAGAAACATTGTGATAGATTAGATTATTGCTCAAAACCTTCACTTCCTCACCCTTCCTTTATTCCCTCCATGGGAAGCGTGTACTGCTCCCTGTGACTCTTGGCTGGGAATTGTGTTTGCTTTGGCCAATGGGATATTAGCAGACGTAACGCAAACAGGGGCTTGAAATATGCTTGTGCACTTGGGCATGTTCTCTCTCTTTTTTTTTTTTAAGATTTTTTTTTTTTTAATAGAGACGAGGTTTCGCCACGTTGGTCAGGCTGGTCTCTAACTTCTGACCTCGTGATCCACCCGCCTCAGCCTCCCAAAGTGCTGGGATTACAGGTGTGAGCCACTGCACCTGGCCTGGGCCTGGGCATGTTCCTTTGCTCTGCCATCTTCGGAAGAGCTGCCCTTGGGGAGCAGCTAGGCCTTCAGCCTGGGCCCATTAATGAGAAATATAGTCTTGACCTAAGCTGGCTGGACCTGCACTTAATGTAAATGCTACTATATAATGCTCTGCTACTTAATGCAGAGCCACTTATTTACCCAAGCCTGACCTTGATCAGCTAAGTCCCAGCTAACCCACAGATGCATGAGTAGTAAACGCTCCCTGTTATGTGCCCCTGATATTCCATAGTTGTTTGTTACTCAGCAATAGCTGATTGATACAAATATCTGTCAGAGGAACTTTGTTACGTTCTTGCCTGGAGTTTGAATGCATGGACAAATTGGGCTGGGCTTCCTCCATTCCTGAATATAAACCAGTCTACCCAAACCCTGTTTTGAGCTATTGGTTGTCAGCCAATTATATCTCAGAAATTTTCAAATTTGTATCCACATTGTTCATGCTTTCCACTAGGAATCCTGGGCTTAGCTTTTAGAAATTGGTTGTCATGTCAAACAACTTTGAACTCCACCTAAAAGGGGACCCAGAAGGACTATGATTCTTCAACTACTTTTCCAGTTTTTGAAGGGTATAAGAATTCAGTGCTAGAGCAAAACAGATAATAAATTGGTTTTTTTCTGTCTCCTTAGAATCTCTTTATGTATTCCCTAAATTGCAGAGATCATGGAATTGTAAAATAAGAAGGATCTTAGAAGTTATTTTATTATCCAGGCAGACAAAAGTCACCTAAATGCTCCTCAAACAGATTATTTCAAGGATTAGGAATGCACCGCCCCTAAGAAGGTAACAAATTTTATTGTTGGACACTTCTCAAGAGAAAACTCTGGCTGCTCTTAGGCTGGTGGTTCTAAATATGAGCCCCACAGCCACCCCAAATCTCTTCTTCCATGCCCCTGAGACTTGTCTCATCTCCCCCAGTTCCCCTATACAAATCCTGCTGTCCAATTTGGATAGGTGTTCATATAAGCACACACCCGCCTGGACACCTTTGCTCCTTCTACTTCCTCTGCTTGGAGTGTCCTTTCCCTTCTGCTTTTATTTAGGTTGTCCTGGTATTGATCATGTTTACTAATTAGATCCTAAACCCCATGAAGGCTGGCACATACTGTCAAAGTCAGAGTAATGGCCCAAGAATTAGGAAATGGATCAGATCACTGGTGGTTGCTTATCAGTATAGGTAACAGGGGCAGCTCAGACTTGTTGGACCAGAATCTGGGGGTAAGGCTAAGTGTGGTATCCTGACACAGTCCTGGTAAAAAGCCCCTGCCCCAGGCCTGGCACAATGCTCTCCACAGGACAGGCCTCAGTAATGCACCACTCCTTTGGCTCTGTGTAAGAAGAACCCACAAGTTCTCACCAGTTTCCTAAGGGTCTGCTCCATTTCTCTGTAATGAACACCATCTGTTAGGCAGGGGGAGGCCCGGGGCAGCCTTCCTTCATGGAGATTCTTAGAATATTGACTGAGAACACATTTCCTCACATCAGGCCTACTCCCAAGAGACCAGCTTTATTGTGAGACTTTGTAACTTTCAACCAATGTATTATTTCTATTCCCAACTCTTTCTCTAAAACTGTTAGCAGCAAAGTTGGTAGAATGAGCTAAAAATGTCTGTGTGACTGCTTGGAGACCAGAAGCAGGGGAGAAGCTCCCATCCCACAGATGCCCAGGAGGCAAGAGGCCCTGTTGGGAGGCAGTATGAGGAAGGCCATGGCCAAGATGGGACAGTAGATAAGAGATGTCCAGGAATCAAGGAATGTCCCTGCTGAGTTTGAAGCGGAGCTGGCCCTATGACCAAACATCCACTCTTTGGAACTTTCACACTCCTCTGGAGCAATAAAGTTTAAAGATACCGTAGGGTGACCTCCTTCCTTTCTTTCCATTTCCTGTCTCCTGATTTCCTTCTTAACCCTCTCAATGTTCTCTTTATTTATTTATTTTTAGAGACAGTGTCTATCTGAATTTATATTTAGAGACAGGCTGGAGTGCAGTGTCACAGTTAGAGCTCATTGCAGCCTTGAACTCCTGGACTCAAGTGATCCTCCCACCTTGGCTTTCCAAAATGCTGGGATTGCAGGTGCGAGCCATTACCCCTGGATAATATTCTCATCATCCCAAATTCTTTCAGCTTCTTCTTGTGTGACATTCCTGTGATTATGTTTGAGATTCATGCTAAAATGGTCTTCAGCCCATCAATGCCCAAAGAACATAATCTCCTAGGATGAAATTGACTCCAGTCCAGGGTGATACTGAACCCAGGAGACCAGTAAGTTACTGGGCCTGGCAGCCTGCCTCTGAGGAACTCCCAGATAGGCAAGATTTTATACAGAGAACATGATGAAGGGAACTGAGGCAAGACCCACCTTGATCTTCATGGTACTGGGGGCCAGGGCTGTGATCTCCTTTTGCATCCTGTCAGCAATGCCAGGGTACATGGTGGTGCCCCCAGAGAGGACATTGTTGGCATATAAGTCCTTACGGATGTCAATGTCACACTTCATGATGGAATTGTAGGTTGTCTCATGAATTCCAGCCGACTCCATGCCTAGTGGAGATTACAATATCTAGTCAACAGGCATCACTTCATAAATACGCACACCGTTGGCTCTTCAAATGACCAACTACCCTAGTTCAGAACCTTAATACTTCCCAAAAGGTTCTAAGATTAGACCCCCTACCTGTTCATGGCCTTTCCTTTATTGTCCCTTGTTCTGATTACCATCTGCCTGGTCTCCTTGCCTCTAGTCTTTTTTTATTTTTTGAGACAGGATCTCACTCTGTTGCCCAGGTTGGAGTGCAGTGACACAATCATGGCTCACTGCAGCCTTGATCTTTGGGGCTCAAGTGATTCTCCCACCTCAGCCTCCTGAGTAGCTGGGACCACAGGCATGCACCACCATGCCCTGCTAAATTTTTTATTTTTCAAAGAGATGGAGTTTTACCATGTTGCCCAGGCTGGTCTTGAATGCCCAGGCTCAAGTGACATGCCTGCCTCTGGCTCCCAAAGTTCTGGGATTATAGGCATGAGCCACTGTGCCCAACTGCCTCCAATCTTTTATCCATGCAATATGATTCCACACTGCAGATGGAGTAATCTTGCTAAACCACAACCTGACCTGGCTACATTGTTGCCTACAAACTTTGTGTGTTTTAACCTCATTCTTAGTTTCATGTTATATTTCTTGTTCTGCTTTTCCTGTATGTTGATTTCCTTTTCCTTTTATTTAAAATGAGACTTTCTCTATTTTAAGAAATATGTTTTTGGCCCTTCCTAGGAAAATGTGAGATATGATTATATCATTAACAAAGTGTTCATGACTCCTTGTGTTTCTCTCCCCATACCTCACCCAGCCCTCCACCCTCCCCTCCTGAGCTATTGGCAGGGACTGTGGGTGGCATCTCACCAATGAAGGAAGGCTGAAAGAGGGTCTCAGGGCAGCGGAAACGCTCATTGCCAATAGTGATAACCTGCCCATCTGGCAGCTCATAGCTCTTCTCCAGGGAGGAAGAGGAAGCTGCTGTGGCCATCTCATTCTCAAAATCCAGGGCCACATAGCACAGCTTCTCCTTGATGTCTCGCACAATTTCTCTCTCAGCTGGAAGGAGCATCAATGACAGCAGGTGAATGCTGAGCTCTGTTAGTTTGGTTGTCCCATTTTGACCTCCATGAAAACCTCCTTCTCACACCTACTTTATTCATTTTTGTTTTTTGAGACAGAGTCTCACTCTGTCACCCAGGCTGCAGTGCAATGGTGCAATCTCAGCTCACTGCAACCTCCCACTCCTGGGTTCAAGCAATTCTCCTGCCTCAGCCTCCCAAGTGCTGGGATCACAGGTGTGCGCCACCGCGCTTGACTAATTTTTGTGTTTTTAGTAGAGACGGGGTTTCACCATGTTGGCCAGGCTGGTCTCAAACTCCTGACCTTGTGATCTGCCCACCTCAGCCTCCCAAAGTACTAGGATTACAGGCGTGAGCCCCCACACCTGGCCTCACATCTTGAGATTCAGTCATAGGATAATGATAAACTTGCCCCTGAAGAGGGCCAAGAATCACTCCATCCAATCTTAATTGTTCTACTCCTCTTTCTAAAAAGGGAGTCTCAAATCTTTATTCCCAAATAGGACTTTGCATGAGATTTCTAACAAAGCCTTAGGCCTTCCTGGGGGCTTTGCAGAACACATTTCTGGTCTAGACTCAGACTTAGATATTTGATCTTACAGAATCTAGAGAGGCTCCCACCTAAAAACGTCTGTTGCCTAGGTGGGCCACATGACACCTTCCCCTTAGCAATTCGGGCCTCACTTATTCCATTTGCCCTCAAACCATAGGTTCCCCTAGGTAATGAAATGTATTAGCAGATCTTTACTACCATTCAACCCTGTGGAAACTAGCCCTAGTCCTGGTGTGGACATGGACAGGGGCAGCTGGTCACTGGGGAAGGAGGGACTGCTTCCATGACTATCTGGTCTTTCTTTTTTTTCTTTTTGAGACAGAGTTTCACTCTTGTTACCCAGGCTGGAGTGCAATGGCACAATCTCAGCTCACCGAAACCTCTGCCTCCCAGGTTCAAGTAATTTTTCTGCTTCAGCCTCCCGAGTAGCTGGGATTATAGGCATGCGCTAACAGGCCTGGCTAATTTTTGTATTTTTAGTAGAGACAGGGTTTCTCCATGTTGGTCAGGCTGGTCTTGAACTCCTGACCTCAGGTGATCTATCTGCTTTGGCCTCCCAAAGTGCTAGGATTACAGGCATGAGCCACCACACCTGGCCAACTATCTGGTCTTATCCAGAGGCCCAGCCCCAGTTTAAGACCTCCCAGTCTGTTTTAGGAGAGTTTAAAGACACAGAGCAGCAGATTTCTCATTGGTCCTGAGAACTTCCGGTCCTAAACCAGATTGGTTCTGAGCTCCAGTCAGAATCAGGAAAAGGGCTGGATACCTGTGGTCACAAAGGAATAGCCTCTCTCTGTGAGGATCTTCATGAGGTAGTCCGTGAGGTCGCGGCCAGCCAGGTCCAGGCGCATGATGGCATGGGGCAGGGCATAGCCTTCATAGATGGGGACATTGTGGGTGACACCATCCCCTGAATCCAGGACGATGCCTGTGGACAGAGAGGATCAGCCTTATAAAAATCTCATTCCTGTCTTTCACCAGTCTCTTTCTAGGGCTGTTACCAATGAGCTCTGACTACCATATTTTCCTTTAGCAGTTAAGAATATTCACTCACCATGAGAATCATCAATCATATTTTTTATTTTTTATGTATGTCAACTTTTTTCCCCCAAATGAGACTGTAGGCCTCTGGAAGGCAAGTAAAATGTGTCCTTTTCTTGTATTCTTTGAAACATATTACTGGTAATGCATACTTATCAATTTGCATTAAATCTACACTGCATAATCTTAAAGTGAAATTAGATAATTTTCACATCCTTCAGGTCTCTAACATATAAGCCCATACAGTCTGAATGTTAGATCTGGAAGGAGTTATGAAAGCCAGTTAATTTGAAAAAAGTAATATTCTCTACTGATGAAACTTTTAGTAAACTGTGACAGGAATTTAAGAGTTCCTAACATAAGAAACCCTTCCACCCTTCCCTCCCTTCCTCCCTTCCTTCCTTCCTTCCTTCTTTTCTTCCTCCCTTCCTTCCTTCTTTCCTTCCTCCCTTCCTTCCTTCTTTCCTTCCTTCCTCCCTTCCTTCCTTCTTTCCTTCCTTCCTCCCTTCCTTCCTTCTTTCCTTCCTTCCTCCCTTCCTGGTAATGCATACCCTTCCTTCTTTTCTTTTTCCTTCCTTCCTTCTTTCTTTCCTTCCTTCCTTCCTTCCTTCCTTCCTTCCTTCCTTCCTTCCTTCCTTCCTTCCCTCCTTCCTTCCGTCTTTTGAGATGATATCACTCTGTTGCTCAGGCTATAGTACAGTGGTATGAACATGGCTCACTGCAGCCTCAACCTTCTGGATTCAGGTGATCCTCCCACCTCAGCCTCCTGGATAGCTGGGACTAGAGGCATGTGCTGCCATGCCTGGTTAATTTTTTCTTTTTTTTTTTTTTTTTTTGTAGAAACAGGGTCTTGCTATGTTGCCTATGCTGGTCTCAAACTCCTGGCTCAAGCGATCCACTTGCCTCGGCCTCCCAAACTGCTGGGATTATAGGCATGAACCACCATGTTCAATCTCATATTTCTTTTTTTTTAAAATAATCTTTTTTCTTTTTTTTGCACATAAGGTCAGTGGAGACAGCCTCATATTTCTTAATCCAACAGCCACATCATAACTGATGAGAAAACAATACAATATCACCACTATTATTTAATGTTGTCCAGGATGTTCTAACCAATTGCAGTGAAAATAGAAATAAGAGGTATGACTACCAAAAGGAAACAAAATTGTCATTAATTGCAGATAATGTGGTTTTATATAGAAGACCCAAGAGAATCAACTAAGAAACCATTAGACCTAATTAGATGGTTCAGTAAGGGCCAGATGTAAAATAAATGTCCATAAACCAGTAACTTACTCTTGTACAAGGATCTGAATCACAGCATATTTTATAATAAAAATTAGAGGCAACCTAAAGCTCCAGCAATAGATACATGGTAAAATAAATAAACAAATAATGAAACCGTCAAACAATGACTGCCACATAGTCATTAAACATGATGTTTGCAACAAAACAAAGTGCAAGGTCAGGTGCGGCATCTCATGTCTGTAATCCCAGCACTTTAGGAGGCTGAGGCAGGTGGATCACCTGAGGTCAGGAGTTTATTTTTTATTTTTTATTTTTTTTATTTTTTTTGAGACAGAGTTTCACTGTTGTTACCCAGACCGGAGTGCAATGGCACAATCTCAGCTCACGGCAACCTCCGCCTTCTGGGTTCAAGCAATTCTCCTGCCTCAGCCTCCCAAGTAGCTGGGACTACAGGCGCGCACCACCATGCCCAGCTAATTTTTGTATTTTTAGTAGAGATGGGGTTTCACCATGTTGACCAGGATGGTCTCAATCTCTTGACCTCATGATCCACCCGCCTCGGCCTCTCAAAGTGCTGGGATTATAGGCGTGAACCACCGCGCCTGGCCAGAGGTCAGGAGTTTAATACCAGCTTTGCCAACATGGTGAAGCCCCACCTCTACTAAAAACATAAAAATTAGCCAGGCGCAGTGGCTGACGCCTATAATCCCAGCACTTTCAGGGGTTGAGGCAGGTGAATCATGATGTCTTGAGCTCGAGACCATCCTGGCTAACACAGTGAAACCCTGCCTCTACTAAAAATACAAAAAATTAGCCGGGCATGGTGGCATGTGCCTATAGTCCCAGCTACTTGGGAGACTGAGGCAGGAGAACCACTTGAAACCAAGAGGTGGAGGGTGCAGTGAGCCGAGATCACACCACTGCACTCCAGCCTGAGCAACAGAGTGAGACTCTGTCTCAAAATAAATAAATAAATAAAGAGCCAGGTGCAGAGGCATGTGCCTGTAATCCCAGCTACTCAAGAGACTGACACAGGAGAACTGCTTTAACCTGGGATGTGGAGGTTGCGGTGTGTCAAGATCGTGCCACTGCACTCCAGCCTGGGCGACAGCAAAACTCCATCTCAAAATGAAAACAAAAGCAAAAATAAAAGTGCAAAGTGCAGGATACAAAACTGTATATGCCATGCATTTCTCCATCACTGTCCTTATCACATGCAGTGAAATTATCTTTTACTTTTGTCTACCTCCCACTAAACTGTCAGCTCTATAATGGCAAAGTCTGTTTTATTTGTCAGTGTATGCCCATGGCCTGGTGCCATGTTTGGCACATTGTAGGGAGTAATGGAAAAATATATGATGGATAAATGTATGGATAAATCGGTAAATACATGATGAATGAATGTTTAAACAATGTTTATGGAAGCTGTCAAGTCCCTCCTAAAGACCGTCTTATTTTGAGATTTCCTCTGTTATCCTAAGGACACTTCTGTACCAAGACCACATACAGTCATGTCCACATAATGACATTTTGGTCAACTATGAACCACATACACAATGATGGTGCCATAATATAATGAAGCTGAAAAAGTCTTATTGCCTAATGACATCACAGCTGATGTCATGCCACAGGGCAACGCTTTACTCACACGTTTGTGGTGACGCTGGTGTAAACAAACCTACTGCGCTGCCAGCTGTATAAAAGTACAGCACAGTGCTCGCTTCGGCAGCACATATACTAAAATTGGAACGATACAGAGAAGATTAGCATGGCCCCTGCGCAAGGATGACACGCAAATTCGTGAAGCGTTCCATATTTTTAGACTTAAACATAAGACCTGGCACCATAAAAACCCTAGAAGGAAATCTAGGCAAAACTATCCAGGACATAGGAGTAGGCAAGGACTTCATGAACAAAACACCAAGAGCATTGGCAACAAAAGCCAAAATAGACAAATGGGACCTAATCAAACTCCACAGCTTCTGCACGGCAAAAGAAACAGTCACTAGAGTGGATCGGCAACCAACAGAATGGGAAAAAATTTTCGCAGTCTACCCATCTGACAAAGGGCTGATATCCAGAATTTACAAACAACTCAAGCAGATTTACAGGAAAAAAACAAACAAGCCCATTCAAAAGTGGGCAAAGGATATGAACAGATACTTTACGAAAGAAGACATATATGAGGCCAACAATCATATGAAAAAATGCTCATCGTCATTGGTCATCAGAGAGATGCAAATCAAAACCACATTGAGACACCATCTCACGCCAGTTAGAATGGCGATCATTAAAAAATCTGGAGACAACAGATGCTGGAGAGGATGTGGAGAAAAAGGAACACTTTTACACTGTTGGTGGGAGTGTAAATTAGTTCAACCATTGTGGAAGACAGTGTGGCGATTCCTCAAGGCCTTAGAAATAGAAATTCCATTTGACCCAGCAATCCCATTACTGGGTATATATCCAAAAGACTATAAATCATTCTACTATAAGGACACATGTACACGAATGTTCATTGCAGCACTGTTTACAATAGCAAAGACCTGGAATCAACCCAAATGCCCATTGATAATAGACTGGATTGGAAAAATGTGGCACATATACACCATGGAATATTATGCAGCAATCAGAAATGATGAGTTCGTGTCGTTTGTAGGGACATGGATGAATCTGGAAAACATCATCCTCAGCAAACTGACACAAGAACAGAAAATGAAACACCGCATATTCTCACTCATAGGTGGGTGATGAAAAATGAGAACACATGGACACAGAAAGGGGAGTACTAAACAGTGGGGTCTATTGGGGGAAAAGGGGAGGGCCAGTGGGAGGGGGAGGTGGGGAGGGATAGCCTGGGAAGAAATGCCAAATGTGGGTGAAGGGGAGAAGAAAAGCAAAGCACACTGCCATGTGTGTACCTACGCAACTGTCTTGCATGCTCTGCTCATGTACCCCAAAACCTATAATCCAATAAAAAATTAAAAAAAAAAAAAAAAGTACAGCACATACATTATGTACGAAATACTTGATAATGATAATAAATGACTATGGTACTGGCTTATGTATTTCCTATACTATCCTTTTTTTTTTTTTTTTTTGAGACAGGGTCTCACTCTGTCACCCAGGCTGGAGTGCAGTAGTGAGCTCTCGGCTCACTGCAGCCTCTGCCTCTTCGGCTCAAGCAATTCTCCAGCTTCAGCCTCCTGAGTAGCTGGGACTACAGGCATACCTGGCTAGCTTTTTGCATATTTTGTAGATACAGGGTCTAGCTATGTTGCCCAGGCTGGTCTTGAACTCCTGAGCTCAAAGAAATCTGCCCACCTTGGCCTCCCAAAGTTCTGGGATTACAGGCATGAGCCTCTGTGCCCAGTCTCTTATATTATGTTTTAAATCATTATTTTAAAGTGTACTCCTTCTACTTATTAAAAAAAAATGTTGACTGTAAGGCCGGGTGTGGTGGCTCACGCCTGTAATCCCAGTACTTCGGGAGGCCAAGGCGGGTGGGTCACTTGAAGTCAGGAGTTCGAGGCCAGCCTGACCAACATGGAGAAACACCGTCTCTAGTAAAAAATACAAAATTAGCCGGGTGTGGTGGCTCATGCCTGAAATCCCAGCTATTCAGGAGGCTGAGGGAGGAGAATCGCTTGAACCTGGGAGGGGGAGGTTGTGGTGAGCCAAGATTGTGCCATTGCACTCTAGCCTGGGCAACAAGAGCAAAACTCTGTCTCAAAAACAAAAAAGTTGACTATAGAACAGCCTTAGGCAGGTCCTTCCTTCAGGAGATATTCCAGAAGGAAGCATTGTTATCATAGGAGATGACAGCTCCATGCATGTTATTAACCCTGAAGACCTTCTAGTTGGGCAAGATGTGGAGAGGAAAGATGATGATGATCCTGGCCCGGTGTAGGCCTACACTAATGTGTATGTTTTAGTTTTTACCAAAGAAGCTCTAAGAGTAAAATAAATAAATACATTCAATAGAAAAAAGCTTGTAAGATAAAGAATATAAAGAAAGAAAATATTTTTGGCTGGGTGAGATGGCTCATGCCTGTAATCTCAGCACTTTGGGAGGCCAAGGCAGGCAGATCACTTGAGGCCAGGAGTTCGAGATCAGCCTGGCCAACATGGTGAAACCCTGTCTTTACTAAAAAAAAGAAATTAAATAATAGCCAGGCTCCTGTAGTCCTAGCTACTTGGGAGGTTGAGGCACGAGAAAAAAGAAAATATTTTGTATTACTGTTATTACAAAAAAAGTAAAAATGGTTTTAAAAATTAAAAAGCTTATAAGGTAGAAACAGTTATAGTTAGCTTAAGTTAATTTATTATTGAAGAAATAATACAAAATTTTTTTTTTGAGATAGAGTCTCACTCTGTTGCCTAGGCTGGAGTGCAGTAGTGGGATATTGGCTCACTGCAACCTCCGCCTCCTGGGTTCAAGCGATTCTTCTGCCTTAGCCTCCCAAGTAGCTAGGATTATAGGTGCTCACCACCATGTCCAGCTAATTTTTGTGTTTTAAGTAGAGACGGGGTTTCACTATGTTGGCCAGGCTGGTCTTGAACTCCTGACCTCATGTGAGCCACCCACCTTGGCCTTCCGAAGTCTTGGGATTACAGGAATGAGCTACGGCACCGGGCCAAGAATAATATTTTTATAAATGTAGTACAGCCGATGTGTACAGTGTTTATAGTCTACAGTAGTGAACAGTAATGACCTAGGCCTTCACATTCTCTTACCACTCACTTGCTGACCCACTGAGAGCAACTTCTAGTCTGGCAAGCTCCATTCATGGTTAAGTGCCCTATATAGGTATACCACTTTTTATCTTTGATACCATATTTTCACTGTAACTTTTCTATGTTTCAATATGTTTAGCTATACTAATACTTAACCATAGTGTTACAGTTGCCTACAGTATTAACTATAGTTAAATACTATACAGGTTTGTAGCCTGGGAGCAATAGGCCATGCCATACAGGCTGGGCATGTAGAAGGCTACAGCATCTGGGTTTGTGCAAATACAATCTATGTTCCCACAGTGATGAAGTCACCTAATGACACACATTTCTCGGAACCTATCCCTGTCATTAAGCAATGTGTAACTGCACTTACATTTTCACCACCACAGGTTCTCCTCTTTCTGCTTCATGAAGCAGAAACATTCCAGTATTGTTGGAATGTCTGTATGTGTATAAGCTCCTGGAATGATTACTATGAAGGAAACAGTTCTCACTGGATGTTTTTTCCAACCATACCAGGTTGGGTCACATTTGGCATTCCACATGGGCATTCTCTTATCCCTAAGCAAGATTTTGCCTGGACTTCCTCTGTCCCTTTTATTCTTCTGAGCAGGAGCCTCTGCCAGACCCCAGCTTTTCCCTACCTCCCCTGAAGTCAGGAAAGGAATGGATTACAGGATTACTCACCTGTCGTGCGGCCGGAGGCATAGAGGGAGAGCACAGCTTGAATGGCAACATACATGGCAGGGACATTGAAGGTTTCAAACATGATCTTAAAGGGCAATGAAGAATAAAAGATTATCTGCAAAAATCACAGCACTTCTTGGCCTGTAGAGTGGTTTGTGATCTCATTAAGGGCAGTAACTATGACAGTTTGGTAGTTCTTTATTCTATGCCCACTCCCCCAGGGCCTGGCATGGACTATGGACATAGCAGGTCCTCAAAGAGTTCTGTTGCACTGATGTTTGAAGGGGAGAAAGTATCTGGCCAAGCATCCACATTGCATTCTTGTGCCAGTGTTCAAGTCTTCCTGGCTTCTTACCTGGGTCATCTTCTCCCTGTTGGCCTTGGGATTTAGGGGAGCCTCTGTGAGCAGGGTAGGGTGCTCTTCAGGTGCTACACGCAGCTCATTGTAGAAGGAGTGGTGCCAGATCTAGTGGAGACAAGAGCCAGATGAACCCGGTAGACTCACATTGGCTAGAAAATTCTGATTGACATTTCCATGCTGGGAGAGTGTGGCACCATGTTACACTGGATGGGGTGGATCTGGAGAGGAGAATGGTCAGCCCTGGAAATTTCTGATTGACATTTAAAGGGTATATTCCTTCTCAACAGGGCCCCCACCCAGGACTCAGACCTGGAACCAGTATTTCCTATGTGTTATTATTTCCATTTGACCTTTCCTCTTCTTCACTCTACTACAGGCTTTCCCCTGCCTTTGTGCCCTGAGCGATGCAAGGCACATTGCATCACTCAAGTATTCATTGCTTTCTGGCTTCCGGTGATATTTGGCTGATAGAAGATACCTTCTGGAGACTGGAAAGTAAGAGGGCAAAAGAAGTCAGGATATATCTCCTGACAATGGCGTGGCCTTCCATGAGTACAGTTCCTGTTCGGCAGCCACTCTTCCAGAGCTCAAGCTCTCATTAAACTCCAATGACAGTGCCCTCATCACCTGGCCTGTTGATGTTTAGGGGTGTGAGAGCTCCCTTTGTTGCTGGTTCTTGAGTGCCTCGACATCCCTTTGTAGCTGCCTTAAGGCTACGCACACTTCTCTGTAGGACATTCATTTAACCAGTTGTAAAACCCCAGCTGAGTATACATGTCAATCAATTTCTAAAGCCCAGCTAAGTGTACACTGTCTCCTGCTGAAAATCTGACAGAGGCACTTGGGCTCAGTTTTCACCATCTATTATTGGCCAGGCCGGTGTTTTAAGCAGGGTTTCTCATTGCAGCACTATGACATTTTAGGTTGGATAATTCTTTGTTGTGGGGGGCCAACCGGCATCCCTGGTCTCTACTCACTGGATGCTAGCAGCAGATTTCCAGTTGTGACAATCAAAAATGTTTCCAGATATTACCAAATGTCCTTTGGGAAGCAAAATCATCCTGGTTAAGAACCACTGCTTAGCTTGGGCAACAGAGTGGGGGCCTGTCTCTACAAAAAGATAAAAAATTAGCTGGGCATGGTGGCACCTGCCTTTAAACCCAGCTACTCAGAAGGTTGGGGCAGGAGGATTGCTTGAGCCCAGGTGGTCGAGGCTGCAGTGAGCTGTGATCATGGCACTGCACTCCAGCCTGGGTGACAGAATGAAACCCTGTCTCAAAAATAAAAATAAAAAAGAACCGCTGTTTTAGAGGAAGTTAATTTCTTCCTGTGTCTGGTTCCCTCTTCAGTGATCAAGTATGACCAAAAAGGAGTCTTTCAGAGGGATTGGGCAAAGCGTAGCAGGAACGTGGAGCTTTGGTTTCCTCAGAGGTGAGGCACAGGGTCATTTGATGCCACTGGACCCATGTGTTTATGGATCCCCAGGTTTTGTGCTAAGATGGTGGTAAGTGCGTTGAGGGCAAATATGAATCAGACATAGTACCCACTTCTTAGTTGCAAAGTCCAGAGGGGAGAAAAATGGTCAAAAAGACCAAAATAAACACACAAAAAAACACAAGCCACATTTTAAATGAAGGAAGAAGTAGAGTAATTCATTATTTGAGGGATTTAAATGGGTGTTGAGGGAAAAAGAAGGTCTCCAGAGGCTGCTGTGAAAGGCAACCCAGGCAGAGAGAATGCTGAATAGTCTTTTCATCCTCTCTGGTGTTGGAAGTTTCATTTATTATATATTTATATATTTCCCCTTCACCTTTTTGCTGGTGCCAAATTGTTTTAACTTTACAATTTATACTGTATTTTATTATATCTCCCTTCATAATTTTCAAATTCATTTTGTTCTCATAATTTTTGCTTATTTATTTCTGCAAACATACTTTGTAATTATGTTGCATAATTTTTATTGGAATGCAATGAACCTATAAATTAATTTGAGGACATTTGACACTTTTACCCAATTCAGTTTTTTTTAAGGCACTGTGTATATATATAGTTATAGTTATTTATTTTGAGAAGGAGTTTCATTCATGGTTGCCTAGGCTAGAGTGCAATGGCACAATCTGCTCACTGCAATCTCTACCTCCCAGGTTCAAGTGATTCTCGGGCCTCAGCCTTCCAAATAGCTGGGACTACAGGCATGTGCTATCATACCTGGCTAATTTTGTATTTTTAGTAGAGACAGGGTTTCACCATGTTTCCCTTGCCCAAGCTGGTCTCAAACCCCGGACCTCAGGTGACCCACCCACCTCAGCCTCCCTAAGTGCTGAGATTGCAGGCATGAGCCACTGCCCCAGGCCTTTTAAAAAAATTTTTTTGGAGAGAGATCCAAGATGGCTGATTACTAGCAGCTCAGGATTGTAGCTCCCAGTGAAAGTGCAGAGAACGAGAGGACGCCACACTTTCAGACGAATTTTTGTTGCTCACGGACCAGGAGATTCCCAGTGGAGGAGCCCCATGGGTCGCCAGCGCGACTCTTGTGGCCGGTGCGGCAGTTCTCCGTGCAGAGTAAACGAGACTGGGTCCATTTTTGGTCGACGTTTGGAGCTCCCGGAAGGCAGAGTTGCCCATTCAGCTGATTGAAAAAAGGACTCAAGAGGGAAGCCAGACCAGAGATTCCCAGGCAGAAAAAGCACCATGAATCTTAACGCCGCTGTTTTAGCCAGAGCAGTGGGTTGCTTAGATTCTGGCGCTGGGAATTAACAAGTTGGATGTCCACTCAAAGACCTAATTTGAAAGTCGGTAATTACAGAGACAACAGATGGATACATTTACAATGATAGGAAGAAACTAGCCTAAAAAGGTTGAGAATACCCAAAATCAGAATGCCTCTCCCTCTTCAGGGGATCACAGTTCCTCATCAACAGGGGAACAAGGCCTAATGGAGAACGAATGCGTTCCAGTAACAGAATTAGGCTTCAGAAAGTGGATAATAAGAAACTTCTGTGAGTTAAAAGAATATGTTCTAGCCCAACGCAAAGAAACTAAGAACCTTGAAAAAAGGTTTGACGAAATCCTAACGAGAATAGACAATTTAGAGAGGAATATAACTGAATTATTGGAACTGAAGAATACAATATGAGAACTCTGTGAAGTATGTGCAAGTTTTAACAGTCGAATTGATCAAGGAGAAGAAAGGATATCAGAGGTAGAAGACCAACTTATTGAAATGAAACGAGAAGACAAGACTAGAGAAGAAAGAGTAAAAACGAATGAGCAAAGTCTCCCAGAAATATGGGACTATGTGAAAAGACCTAATTTACGTTTGATCGGTGTACCTGAATGTCATGAAGAGAATGAATCCAAGCTGGAAAATATTCTTCAGGATATTATTCAGGAAAACTTTCCTAACCTAGTAAGGCAGGACAATACTCAACTCCAGGTAATACAGAGAACACCACAAAGACATTCCTCAAGTAGAGCAACCCCAAGACACATAATCGTTAGATTCACCAGGGTTGAAATAAAGGAGGAAGTTCTAAGGGCAGCTAGAGAGAAAGGTCAGGTTACCCATAAAGGGAAGCCTATCAGACTCACAGCAGATCTCTCAGCAGAAACCCTACAAACTAGAAGAGAGTGGGGATCAATATTCAATAGCCTCAAAGAAAAGAATTTTCAACCCAGAATCTCATATCCAGCCAAACTAAGCTTCATAAATGAAGGAAAAATAAAATTTTTCATGAACAAGTAAGCACTCAGAGATTTTATCACCACCAGGCCTGCTTTACAAGAGTGTATGAAAGAAGCACTATACACAGAAAGGAACAACCAGTTTCAGTTATCCCAAAAACTTACCAAAAGGTAAAGAGTATCTTCATAATGAAGAATCTATATCAACTAATGGGCAAAATAGCCAGATAGCATTTAATGACAATATTAAACTCACAAATATAAATATTAATCCTAAATTTAAATGGATTAAATGCCCCAATCAAAGACACAGACAGGCAAATTGAATAAAATGTCAAAACCCATGGGTACACTGTATTCAAATCCATCTCATAAGCAAGGACACATAAAGACTCAAAACAAAGGGTTGGAAGAAGACTCACCAATCAAATGGAGAGAGAATAAAAAAAAACAGGAGTTGTAACATTCGTCTCTGACAAAATAGACTTTAATAGTAACAAAGACTAAAAGAAGCAAAGAAGGACATTACATAATGGTAAAAGGATCAATGCAACAACAGGAGTAAATGATCATAAATATATATGCACCCAATATAGGAACACCCAGATACATAAGACAAGTTCTTAATGACTCATAAAGAGACTTGGGCTCCCGCACAATAATAGTGGGAGACTTTGACACCACATGGTTAATATTCGACGGATCAACGAGATAGAAAATTAACAGGGACATCTATGATTAGAACTCAGAACTGGAACAAGTAAACTCAGTGAATATTTACAGAATTCTTCACCCCAGGTCCACAGAACATACATTTTTCTCAGTATCACATTACACCTATTTTGAAAGTGGCCACATAATTGGAAGTAAATCACTCTTCAGCATTTGCACAGCATTTCACAGACTTAAATGAAATATTGGTTGGCTGTCTGTTCATTATTTTCTTCCCTTATTCCTTCCTGTCTCTGCTGTTAAGCACAATTATCAGCATAAAAGAGGTTTTTAATACCTATTTTTAGATTGCATTCCAGCCTGGGCAATAGAGCAAGACTCCTGTTCTCTTTCCCCCTTTCTCTTTCTTTCTTTCCAAAAAAAAAAAGGAAAGAATCTTAAACACTTGAAATCTTTTAAAATGGCTTTATTTTATGGAATAGGTTGAAAAGTGAAAGAAATAAAAAGATGATATACAATGAAAAAGTCTCATTTCATTCCTGCTTCTCTTTGCCATCTCCTCTCCTCCTATACCTCTCCAACTTTGAGTAATTTCTTGTAGTCTTCCAGAGTTTTTTCACTTCATTATAAGTAAATATAAGTACATATCTTATTTTTGTTTTTTTCTTTACATAAAAGAGCATATCTACTCTGTTCTCTGCTCTGCTTTGCAAAAAAAAAATTTTTTTTAATTTTTGATAGAGTCTCACTCTGTTGCCCAGGTTGCAGTGCAGTGATACGATCCTGGCTCACTGAAACTTCTGCCTTGTGGGTTCAAGCGATTCTCCTTCCTCAGCATCTGGAGTCGCTAGGACTACAGGTGCCCACCACCATGCCTGGCTAATTTTTGTATTTTTAGTAAAAACGGGATTTCACTATGTTAATTGGCCAGGCTAGTCTCAAACTCCTGGCTCCAAGTGATCCACCTGCCTCAGCCTCCCAAAGTGCTGGGATTACAGGCATGAGCCACTGTGCCCAGCCTTAAGGTACATAATGTATTTTTAAGGGTTTCTTTATAGTTCACACATTGTCACTACTGTGAATAAAATATTTTGTCTATTATGTTTTCTTTCCTTCCTTCCTTCTTTCCTTTATTTATTTATTTTTTTTTTGAGACAGGGTCTCACTATCACCAAGGCTGGAGCATCGTGGTGTAAACACAGCTCCCTGCAGCCTCCACCACATGGGCTCAAGTAATCCTCCTGCCTCAGCCTCTTTAATAGCTAAGACCACAGTCACGTGTCACCATGCCCAATGCATTTTAAAACTTTTATTTTGTAGAGATAGGCTCTCACCATGTTGCCCAGGTTGGACTCAAGCTATCCTCTCACCTTGGCTTCCCAAAGTGTTGGGATTAAACTGCATCTGGCCTCTATTATGGGTTGTTTTTTTTTGTTTTATTTTTGAGTTGGAGTCTCACCCAGGGTAGAGGTGCAGTGGTGCAATTTTGGCTCACTACAACCTCTGCCCCTGGGGTCAAGTGATTCTCCTGCCTCAGCCTCCTGAGTAGCTGGGAGGTGCCCACCACCACACCCAGCTAAATTTTTTTATTTTTAGTAGAGACGGGGTTTCACCATGTTGACCAGGCTGGTCTCGAACTCCTGACCTCGTGATCCACCTGCTTCAGCCTCCCAAAGTGCTGGGATTTCAGGCATAAGCCATGGCACCTGGCCTATTATGTTTTTAGGTTACAGACTGTTAGATAAATATGAATCATATGTGTCACTTATTGAGCACATAAGTATGAGCACATAAGTATGTTCTTACTTAGTATAATCCCAAGTAAGCTTTGGGATTATACTAAGTATTTACCTGATTCAATCTCCAAAGCAACCTAATGCACAAAGTATTTTTATCTTCACTTTACAGTTGGGAAAACTAAGACTTATAGAGTGGGATTTGCACCTGGATTTCCTGCCATTGCCTCTAATGTCTGTGCTCTTCCCCACTCTTCTATATAAAGTGAAATCTATTGCATTTTATGTGCAGTACTTATCTCACATCAAGTGACTCAATCTAGGATTTAGAGAAAAGTATAAGTGAATTACAATAAGGAATTCAAATAGACATTCCTCATTTCCAGTTATAGTCTGCTCAATAAGGCCTATATCACATTTCCAAAGACAGTCATTGCAGAAATAAGAACTCCTAGCCAACTCTCAGCAGAGTTAATCAAAAGAATATTAGAAAGGCTCTATTAGCATTTTGCATACATAAGTTTGTTTATCGTGAGCTCCACCATTTAAAAATTCCTCTCCCCCTCCCTGCCATATTTTCTTTCTTTCTTTCTTTTTTTTTGAGACGGAGTTTCGCTCTTGTTACCACCCAGGCTGGAGTGCAATGGCACGATCTCGGCTCACTGCAACCTCTGCCTCCTGGGTTCAGGCAATTCTCCTGCCTCAGCCTCCCAAGTAGCTGGGATTACAGGCACGTGCTACCATGCCCAGCTAATTTTTTTGTGTGTTTTTAGTAGAGACGGGGTTTCACCTTATTTGACTAGGATGGTCTCGATCTCTTGACCTCGTGATCCACCCACCTCGGCCTCCCAAAGTGCTGGGATTACAGGCATGAGCCACTGCAACTGGCCCCATATTTTCTTAAACAAAAAGGCGTCTGGAACCCTGAGAGAGTTCTACTTAAAAATTTTCACTGGAGACTCATCATCATCATCTAGCATCCGTTCACCTATGTGAAGTCATGACGGGGAATATACAAATGAAAGATGGCTGTTTGCCTCTCTTGAGGCAGTGCCAGCATTTTAAAGAAGGGGTGAGCACTGGTCTGAGTAAATAATGCAGGAAAAGATGATCGTGGGGATTAGGCAGGGACATGTCCCCTGATGCCAAGACAGGGAATTAGGAATCCACTGTTGTTTAATAAAGAGCTACTGAAGATTTCTGAGGAGGTGAGTGACATGAGCTGACCTGTGTTTAGAAAGATCAGCTTTGCAGCAGTGTAGAGAATTAATTTGGTGAATGAGGGCAAGAGACCAAGAAATCAGCCAGGAAGCCATTGTAGTAGTCCAGGGAGAGATGTTGGCAGCCTAGGTTGGAGAAATGGTTGTGGGGCTGAAAAGAAAGGAAAGACAGAAGTGAGAAGCATTTTAGGGGGAGAGTTGACAGAGCACAGTGGCCTATGGATACGAGGGTCATGATGACGGGTGATCATTAAAGTAGGCTTATTAAGGGGAGTCTACAGATACCTTCTCCATGTCATCCCAGTTGGTGATGATGCCGTGTTCAATGGGGTATTTGAGAGTTAGGATCCCTCTCTTGCTCTGAGCCTCATCCCCCACGTAGCTGTCTTTCTGGCCCATTCCCACCATCACACCCTGCAATGCAAAGAGAAGAGAAATGAATTGGCTGAGGGCTCCACACAGAGGGATTCAGGTACTGGAAGGTCTCTGAAGGATGAGGATGGAAAACACAGCCTTTCTTCCCCTGGAAACAGGATAGCAGGAGACAGAATGGAGCAGATACCAGTGAGTATGGAGATGAAGGTGACAGGAAAAGAAGGTGGAGGATTTCTTGTGGGTTGGCCTTTCTTCTTTCTCCTCAGACAACGTTGTTTTTTGAGATAAAACAAGCCACACCCATATACTTCTTCCCCTCATCCTACCACAAACACACACACACACACACAACTTGTACACTTACCCTCCTCAAATCCCCTGTGCCTGCACTTTTAGATCTCCAAATCTTTGTTATTCTCTCCACCTCCTGAAATCCTTCTAATTCTCAGGTATTCGTTTCTCTGTGATGCCTTCCCCTTCTGTGAAATATTTTGCCTCTATTACAGCCCATGATCTCTGGTCAGTTATGTGTATTTCTTCACAAAGTTCAGATTTCTTGAAGGTAAGAGGCTTGTTCAATTGCATACAATTTAACTTTTCCAAATCTAGCAACTTCCCAAATTTAAGCTGGGCGTAATGGTGTCATTGTATGCCTGATGGATATTGGTTTTGGCACTGGATATTTCTATTTAAAGGGTCCTCCTCTATCAGTTAATCAGAAAAGAACTCCCTACACCTGACATGCACACACACACACACTCCCTAACCCTAACCCTTAGCTCAGTGGAGTATCCACAGTGCAGTGCTTACTCCTAGTGGCTCAAAGTCTGGCATCTGGATGCACACACACCTGGTGGCGAGGGCGGCCCACGATAGAGGGGAAGACAGCCCGGGGGGCATCATCTCCTGCGAAGCCTGCCTTGCACAGGCCAGAGCCATTGTCACACACAAGCGCAGTGGTCTCCTCTTCACACATGGTGTGTGTGGCCGAGTGAGCTGGGGACTGGAGCACCTTGGGGTTTGGGGGAGAAAAGAACTAGTCAGCCACTTGTCAAATCAGTTTGGAGACAGTTTCTTGCCTTTGGGGCCTGACCCTACCTGCAACCAGGGCACATTTCCAGGCATGGGCTTGGCCTCCCACTCTCTGGCAGTGGTCTCCCACTCTCTACCCCGAAGTGAGAATTGTGTCCCCCAAAAATTCATGTTGAAGTCCTAACTCCCAGTACCCAGAAGGTGACTGTATTTGGAGATAGGGTCTTTCAAGAGGTAATAAGTTAAAATGAGATTAATGCAATATGGGTGCCATCCAATATGACTACTCCAGTAGGATGGGTGTCTTTATAAGAAGAGGAAATTAGGATCCAGATGCATGCAGAGGGTAGGTCATGGGAGGACACAGTGACAAGGTGGCCATCTATAAGCCAAAGAAAGAGGCTAAAAGTTCTGGAAGGACACCTAGCAAACCGATCATCATGATTACCTCTGGGAGTGTAGAGAGCGCCTGGGAGGGGAAGTGCTGGGTTATATCTATAATATTTTAGTTTTTTTTTATAAGGAAGCTGCATTTGCATATAACTCATATAATTAAAACTCAATAGCGTAACATATCACTAAAGAAAAAAAAAGGCAGTGGTAATACATAGGTGAAACGTACACTTCTAAGGGTAGAAGCACCTTCTATGAGGAAGGGGCACTCTGGGAGGAGAGAGGAAAAGAAGGGACTCCACCATGGGACTCAGTGTTTGCTGCCTCAACAGATGGGGACAACAAAGAATTCCCTCCCCCATGCTGAGATCTGAGTTAGGATGGATGCAAACTAATGAAGAAATTAACTTTCCCAGCATCTGCTGCATGCATTCTTTCTCTTTTTCTCCTTTTTTTCTTCCTTCATCTTTTTATTTCTCTTTCTTTCTTTGGAGTTACAAACAAATTTGTAACTCCTGACAAATTCCTGGCATTTGGTGATGAAGGAGAAGCACCAGAGCCTCGGATTTCCCCCTCGCCTGGGAGGACCCAGTGGGGTGGGGCAGAAGTGGGGAAGGCCCCAGCTGAGGGGCCAGGGAGGCAGACTTCCAGAAGTCCAGAGAGAGAGGCACCAGGCACAGAAAGAGAAGGCCGGCTGAAGATTTATCTGGAATATGGGACCACAGGTGCCTGTGCCATGGAGTGGGGAGAGGGGAACTTCTGAAACCTGTGACCTGGGCCCCACATGGCCTTGTGCAGAAGCTGAACAGAGAAGACCATGATCTAAGCAAAGAGGAGACAGCACCACAGGCCTAAGAACACGAGGTCTGAAGGCTAGGCAGAGACTGAGCAGAAGCTTGTTAACAATTTGAAGACTAAGGCCAGGTGTGGTGGCTCATGCCTATAATCCCAGCACTTTTGGAGGCCGAGACGGGTGGATCATGAGGTCAGGAGTTCAAGACCAGCCTGACCAAGACAGTGAAACCCTGTCTCTACTAAAAATATAAAAATTAGCTGGGTGTGGTGGTGGGTGTCTGTAATCCCAGCTACTTGGGAGGCTGAAGCAGAGAATTGCTTGAACTTGGGAGGCAGAGGTTGCAGTGAGTCGAGATCCAGTGACTCTAGCCTGGGTGACAGAGCAAGACTCTGCCTCAAAACAAACAAACAATTTGAAGACTAAAAGGAAGCCTTTCCCAGTTATGTTCAAAGCAAACTCAAACTAGGGGAGAGGCCTGCTATGACTTCTTAAATCCAGCTTTGCCTCTGTCTCTGTTGGTCCTTATGTCTCCATGGCCCCAGTGATGAGTCCTCACTCTCTAAACCAGCCCACAGAGTTCAGAATAGGATATCCTCCTTGATAAAGCCACACGCTAAGCAATAATACAATTAGGAGTATTTGCAGCTGCCTCAGTCAGTGTCAGTAAGGAGGCAGCAATGTGTTTCAGGGCTCTACTCTTGATCATTTCTCATGTGACATTTTTATAAATGAATTAGATGAACATACAAAGCACAGGTTGATCAAGTTTTCAGATAAAACAGCTGGAAGAGAGAGTAATATTAAATACATTGGGTGAAATAATAAAAAAATCCAAGATCTCAAAAAGCAGAGAAAATGAGCTGAATCAAACAAGTTTTTTTTTTTCTTTTTTTTGAGATGGGGTCTTGCTCTGTCACCCAAGCTGAAATGCAGTGGCAAGAACATAGCTCACTGCAGACTTGACCTCCCGAGCCCAAGCTATCTTTTCATCTCAGTCTCACAAGTAACTGGGACTACAGGCATGCCCTACCATGCCCAGCTGATTTTAAAAATTTTTTCTGTAGAGAGGGGTCTCCTTCTGTTGTCTAAGCTGGTCTTGAACTCCTGTGCTTAAGTGATTCTCCTGTCTCAGCCTCCCAAAGTGCTGAAATTATAAGTGAGCCACCACACACGGCCAAGGTTAAATGTGATAAAATGAATTCCTGTATTGTGGGTTTCAATAACCAAACTATGAAAGCTCTTGTTTAGCCTCTGTGAACAGGACTTGGTGTCTTGTCGACTCTCAGCAGTGTGCCATGGCAGGATAAAAGCTACCTCTGCCCTTAGCTGGGGTACTGTGTGTGTTTCTTGGGGCCACCCTTGCTGGCAAAGATATGGAGAAGTGGCTTCACATTCACTGCTGGTGAGTGTCAAATTGTACTACTTTTCTGAAAGAGAATTTGAAAATACTTATTAAAAGCCTTAGATGTACATGCTTTCTGACTCCACAAAAGGACTTTTAAGAATCTATCTTTGTGAAACAGTCATGGGTGAATGAAAAGACTTGGCCTGTTTTTTACACCTTTGTTTAAAATGATCAAAATTAGAAACAATCTGAATATCAAAAAAAGTTACTGAATAATAAATGAGTTGACTTGTAAACTAATTGCTGGAAGGAAGGAGAAACTAAAATATTTAATGCAATAGAAAAAGTGCAAGTCGGCCGGGCGTGGTGGCTCACGCCTGTAATCCCAGCACTTTGGGAGGCCAAGGCGGGTGGATCACAAGCTCAAGAGATCGAGACCATCCTGGTCAACATGGTGAAACCCCCGTCTCTACTAAAAATACAAAAATTAGCTGGGCATGGTGGTGCGTGCCTGTAGTCCCAGCTACTCGGGAGGCTGAGGCGGGAGAATTGCTCGAACCCAGAATGTGGAGGTTGCGGTGAGCCGAGATCGCGCCATTGCACTCCAGCCTGGGTAACAACAGCAAAACTCTGTCTCAAAAAAAAAAAAGAAAAAGTGCAAGTTGCTTTGGTAGGTGAAACAGCAGTAAGTTCAGTGTTTCCATTTTTGGTAAATGTGGATTTTTAATTTTAAAAAACATGGAGTCTTCCACATATATTATCTATTTAATCCTCAAAACAGCCCTGAGAGAAGATATCTTTAATTCCATTACATAGATTTGGAAACCAAATCTCAGAGAAGGTAAAGAACTTAGCCAGAGATCTGCTCACTGAGAAGAGGCTGGGAGAGGCAGGCCTGGCGCCCACTGAGGACACTTCCCAAGCCTGAGATGTGCCTTCCTTGCTACTTGGGGGAACCATCATAACTTCTCCATGTTTGGTGTTTTTGCTTCAGCCTGTCTCTCCAGAGCTGTTGGCAGCAAACACCCTAAAACAAAAGGGTCTGGGTTCTTTTCTTGCTATGAAATGGAGTTCCTCCTGTGCCAGGGCCATGCCTGGATTTACTTTTATAGCCCCAACACCTAACTGGCTGTTTAACACATAGGCAGTGCTATGGCCTGATCTGTCCCCTTCAAAACTCATGTTGAAATTTAGTTACCTATTTTAACAGGAGGGCTCTGCCCTCTTGAATGGATTAATGTCCTCCTCAAGACTTTTATATATATGTGGGCTAATTTGGTCCCTTCTTGCTCTCTCTTGCCCTTCTGCCACATGAGGGCACAGCAACAAGGTGCCATCTTAGAAGCAGACTCTGGGCTCTTACCAGACAGACACTGAATCTGCTGGTGTCTTGATCTTGGACTTCCCAGCCTCCAGGACTTTGAGAAATAAATTTCCATTGTTTATAAATAACCCAGCCTCACATATTCTGTGGTAGCAGCAAACATGGACTAAGACAGTAGTGTTCAATATATGTTGAATGACAATCTTGCCATATGAGCAGCCCCCTCCCAGAGCTGGTGTGCGCTGCCCCTGGGATCCCTGAGTTTCCACAGTCCAGCCTCATGATGGTTCCATCACAAGGGCCTGACTTACAGTCACATGCCACAGTTTTCTCTCCAAGCTGGCCAGTGAACGGCAGTGTTGCCCTGTTCTAGGAGGTCCTTTAGGGTCCCCTCAGCAACCCTCTCTCCTGTGTAACTTGCAGTTCAAGCCTGTCTGGCTTTTCCATGAGCCCTTTTGTCTCTCTCCCCAACCTCACTCTGGCATTTCCCACACACAATAAGAGAGAGAGTCTGGGACTTTGTTTCCAATGCAGAGCAGCAGCTGAGACAAGCCACAAGGCGACCTGAAGCTGTCAACAACGCTGTTCTGCAGCACTTGAGGTGGCTTGGAGTCCGCTGTTTTGAAGGCAAAACCCAATGCAAAGTGAGGGCAGGGAAAGCAAGGGGAGGGCTTGCGGAGCTGAGCCTCTGAAGGGTCCCAGGCTACTCTGGGAAGGAGTTCACCCTGGAGCTAGACTCCTGGACCATCTCTGCCAGGAGAAATTCTAAACTTTCCTCAGCTGCTTTCTGGTAATTTGTGGCTAGACTTGAGCATGTCAGCTGAATCACAGCCAAAGTCACTGTGGTTTCCTGGGGTCACAACCGCTTCATGCTGGCAGGGAGCAGAGAGAGTTGTTCTAGCTCTTTCAGCATGAATGACAGCTGGGCTTCATTGAAGTTCTCACTGACTCAGGAATGAAGCCTTTATTCCCCTTGCCCCAAAGGTGGCCAGAAACCAAAGACAAAATGAGTGCAAGTCATTTGCTCACTCACCCATCTCCCTGGCCACACCAAACCCAATGTGAGGGCAGAGCTGTTAAAATCCACCCTCCCCAGAACCTGGAAGGAGACAAGTTTGGCTCTGGAACTCCTCTCACTGCTCCTTCCTTTACCCTCTTCTCCCTCCTGGCACCCCCTTTCACAGCCCAGTCTCTTCATCCTTTCCTGGGCCTTAGCTTCCTGCACTAAAAAATGGAAATGATGGTGTCTATCTCACAAGATAATGGAATGGAAATGAAGGTGCCATAGACACTGTAAATCAGAGTAGGCAAACTCTGCCTGTTTCTGTATGACCTATATCTCAGAATGTTTTCATTCTTTTTTTTCTTTCATTCTTTTTTGTTTTTGTTTTTGTTTTTTGAGAGATAGGGCCTCACTCTGTCACCTAGGCATTGAGTGCAAGCTCACTGCAGGCTTGAACTCCTGAGCTCAAGGATCCTTTCTCCTCAGCCTCCCTAGTAGCTGGGATGGCAGGCATGTGGCTGACATGGCCACTACATTCTGCTAATTCCAAAAAAATTTTTTGTAGAGACAGGGTCTTGCTATGTTGCCCAGGCTGGTCTCAAACTCCTGGCCTCAAGTCGTCCTCCCAAAGTGTTGGGATTACAGGTGGGAGCCACTGCGCCCAGCCCTATATGTTCAAAGGGTTGAGAAAAAAACAAAAGAAGAATAATATTTCATGATCCATGGAGATTATATGACATTCAAATCTCAGTAGAATAAATAAAGTTTTACCAAAACACAGCCACACCCATTCACTTTCATATTATCTATGGCTGCTTTTGTTACAATGATAGATTGAGCACTTGTGACAGAGAACTTCAGGCTCTGAAAACCTAAAATATTTACTATCTGGGCCTCTGCAGAAAAAGTTTCTCAACTCCTGTCATCAAGGGCTGCAAATAATAATAATTCTTAATAATTTTTCTTACTCTTCTTCATCAAACTTGCTCCCAGGATGAAGCCTGTCATATTGAAAGGAATTGAATGATCCATTTCACACATCAATGACTATTGAAAATTGAATTTATGTCAGTTCTCAAAGACATTTTCATTCTGACAGAAAATGTTAGGCCTAAAAGGAAGGCCTATGTGATGATGAGATTTCAAACAATAGTTGGGGACAGGTTTTTGGGTGAGAGCTTCGAGTGTCATGTAAGTATCTGCCTCTCTGCCTTTCATTATTTGCCTACATGTATATACAAACCATCAGAAACCCTGGCAGGGAGAAATCATCTATGAAAAACACTGCCATGGTGGAAAACTCTAAAAGCTCCTCTAATTAACTTTGGGGTATCGTCACTGGGTTCATATACATACATGAGTTCAATTAAAAACAACTCTGCTGAGTAATATTTTTGATCCTCCAGAATTTGTCGTGGGTGCCCTCTCTTCTGGCTCTTACCCAGACTCCCATTCACTCGCCTGGCTCCACTCCTATCCAGACCCCTCTCTTGAGCTCTAGACCTGCAGAGCCTGCTGTGCATCTGTCCCCCAGCCCACCAGCATCCCAACTCCACACCTTCAGGACTGCTCTCCTCATCACCAGTCTCTGCCTGGAGCCGCCCTCAGAGACTCCCACCACCCACTCTGTGCCCACGCCCAATGCCCTGGTGCCACCCTCTTCACTCCCAACCTATCACCAGCCCCTCTTACTTCTACCTCCACGCCACTCATGCCACCAGCTTGGGACCACCACACGCTGCAGTAGCACTCTTGCCCTGTTCCAGTCCACTCTCCTTACAGCTGCCAAAGCAGCCCCTTCAATAGACACCCTCCAGATTAAAACCCTTCCATGGCTCCCCATAGCCTAATCCTTCAGAGTCTAAAGCCTTTGTAATCCAGCCCTGCTGACCTCTCTGAATTTAGTTTTATCTGATTCCTGCCTTGCCATCTAAATTCAGTGGAGTTGAGCCACTCGAGTCCCAAAGACCATGCTTCCTCTTTACCATGAGGACTACCAAAGACTACCTTACTTCAGCACCCAGCTCAAGCACCTCTTCCTTCAGGAAGTCTTCCCTGATAACTCCTGGGCTGAGTGATGGGCTACTTCTGGCCTTTACCCCTTTCATGCACTTATTTGCTCCATGGTTCTCATCTGTTTATCTGTCTCTCCCAGTAACTGCAGAAGCCCCTCCACTGTCCCTAAGGAGCAGGGAGAGTGCCTGGTCCACAGTAAGTGCTCAATAAATGTTGGCAGAATGTGGAAGAGGAAAGAGGAAAGCTATCTCACCCCAAGGTCATGATGTCACACTGCCCATCTTGTTTTCTCAGGCCTGGCAAGTAGCATTTTACTACTTATTGCAGTTTCTCCAGGACCCATCCGTCACAGGGAGCTCTGCCTCTTTTCAGCCCAAGGGTTAGTATTAGAGTCCAAACCCACATTCAAGTAATGGAAGTGAGCACTCAGAGCCTCCCTGTACAAAGTGTCTTCCCAGACCAGCAGCCTCAGCATCACCTGGGAGCTTGTTAGAAATTCCAAGTATCAGGCCTGATCTTGGCCTACTGGAATCAGAATCTGGGGTGGGGCACAGGGCAATCCGTGTTTTAACAAGCCCTCCAGGTGATTCTTAAAGTTTGAGAACTCAGGCCGAGCCTTGACAGCCTTGAGCTGAGTGCTGTGTACATGCATTCTCTCATTTAATCCTCACACCATCGCCAAGTAGATATTATTCTTGCCCCCATTTTACAGGTGAGGAAACTGAGGTCGCTCAGTAACTTGGTTAGCCTGGCAGTTTGCCTTCAAGGCCTGCACCACCACACCAGCCTGCCTCATCAGTGAAGAGATGCTAGTGAATTCTGACGCCGAACGTGCAAGTGGCCCCTTAGTCTCATCTTCCTCTTAATTGTGTCTGTGTGTGTTGGGTGGGTTGCGGGGAGTAATGACATCCGTAAATCATTTCACAGTTGGGTATCAGTCTTTTGGATGAGTGGCTGAACATCTCTAGGCCTCAATAGCCTCATCAGAGAAGAATGAACTAGACAGGTCCCAAGTTCCTTCTACCCTAAAACCTCATGATGCTACAGGGCAAGCGGGATTTTCTCCATCCCCCAGTGATCCTAGAGCCTTCAAGGACTGCAAAATCCCTCCATTCTCCTCAGTCAAGCACAAATCAGAAGACAGAGAGAGACCCACATGGGAACTGTAGAAAATACCCTCCCATTCCCAGCACAGACATTTCAGGGACTAAACCGCTCACAGGCACCAGAACCACTGTTGGTTTTGACTCAAATATTCTGAAAAGAAGCTGTTTTTCTGCAAAGTATCTGATCCCTTAAAATAGCCTCCCAGACATTCTGACCCAAGACAAAGGACATCAGGGTGTGGATCTGCACTGGCCATGGGGAGCAGGGCTAGTAGAATCTGCAGGCATTATATCTCACCAGCCCCCAGTCCAAAGCAGGGAGCACAGTTCCAAGCTGCCCCTGCCCCAGGATGTCCCATGACCAGAGATGCCTTTTCCCAGCAGGCCACAGTATGCTTGCAGGTGCCGCTGCCCACCAAGGGTCCTGGCGTGTGATCTCGACCAGCGTCACAGAAGCCAGGCCAATCTGAAGGCACCTCCCGCACCCAGGAGGCCAGGCAGCCCCGGAAAGGAAGAGATGGCAAAAGCCATACAGTACTCACTCAGGGTATGAGAGGTTCTTCTCCCAGTGACTGAGGGCTGGTGTGTCTTTGGCATGAATACCAGAGCAATATAAAACCCCAGAGGCGGATCTTCTTTAAACAAAGTCCCTAAAAAGGCCAGCTGACGGTGTGTTAGCAATATTACCATATAAGGTGGTTTTTTCAATAAATCGCCTTGGGGGTAGGGAAGGGGGGTGGATAGAGTGAATTATCATTTGAAAAATGTATGCAAAAGGACTCAGTGGCAACAGCGGTGGTGCTGGTAGATTTGTTCCTTTTATGCTGCACTTGCATAAACAAAACTCACACCAGGCCTTATAAGCTTCCCAGAGTGAGACCAGATGCAGCTGTGCTCCTGGAGTGAGAACCATACCAAGAATGGCAGTGGGCCTCCTCTGTCCACACCTCCCTCCTCAGGCCCTGCTGCATGCTGTCCCTGGTCTGCCTGGGTGTCCCAGGCACTGTCCCCAAAACGGGTGCAATTGTGCCTTGTCTGGCACGAGCCTGGGACTAATGGAAGCTGAAGGGAAATGCCATCTGTTCCCAGGAAAGAAATCCTGTGTGCCCTTCTCACCTGTTGCACCTTGCCACAAGCCCCTAACCCCTGGGCTGAGTTCTCTGAGGGTCTCAGGACACTTAAGCTTCCTATGGAACTTCATTCTCTCTTGGCTCCTTCCTGGATTTCCTGTACCAGTCTCTAAATACAGAGAATTACAGACCTAGGGACTTGCTTCAGGATTGAGGCACACCTAACAAGACTCTGGTCTGTAGGATTTTCCGCAGTCCTGTGGTTCTTGAGCAGCTGCTTCTTCTTCTTCTTCTTTTTTATTAGACAGGGTCTCACTCTTGAACTCCTGGGTTCAAGCAATCCTGCCGCATTGGTCTCCCAACGTGCTGGGATTACAGGCGTGAGCCACCATGCCCAGCTGGTTCTTGCACTTCTTTGTGTAATTCATGCACTCTCCTTAGGTAGCTGGTTCATTTCCCACATTATCAGCTGCCAGTTCTGTGGTATTACTTTCAACTCCACATTCCCATGGTCCCCATCCCTCACCCTGATCCAGACTAAAATGATCAATTGCCTATTGGACATCCCAATCCAGATGACTCACCAGCTCTTTAAACTCATCCTGTTTAAAACTGAACCCTTCTTACCTACCCTTAAAGCTGCTGCACCTCCTGGGTTACCAACCTCTGAGTTGGTCCCCTCAGCCCTTTAAGCTAGAAGCCAGTCAGTCTAATCAGCCAGTTGAGAACCCTCTCTCTCCCTCATGCTCCCACAACCACCTGGGTACCACAGCCTGGTGCTCTCCCCATCAGAAATGCCCTTAGTTCTGGGTCCTCCCCTCCATCCCTGCTGGCCTGAACTACCTCAGGCTCCACTCCTATATGGCTTGGAGTGGGGCACAGCTTCCTAACTGCCTTCCTGTTCCTTCTTCAACATAGAGGTTCCCAAAGCATGGGCACCATCAGAACACAGCAACAGCATGACATGGGAGTGTGCTCACAATGCAGATTCTCAGGCGTCACCTAGACCTACTGAATCAAAAACTCTGGGAGTGGGCCTCAGCCATCTGTGTTTCTCAAACTTTCCCCACCTGGTGCCCAGGATACCCCCACTTCCACAAAAGAAGCATGCCCTGCATACCTGCTAAGTGCACTGGGAGTTCCAGGTGGTTTGGGATGGCCTGGTGCAATGGCTTGGGGCAGGTCTGGCTTCCTCATTAATTGAAAACTGACGCAGGATGAGGTGTGAATGAGGAGTGTCCTCTGCTTAGAGATCCCAGGGGAAAGATTAAAAAAGGCTTTCCATGATGACCTGCAGTTGTTCCCTGTGGAGAAGGAACACTGTTGTCATGGTGAGGTTCATTTACTTATCATTTGACCACTGGCCTGTGTGTTTAGTGCTTAAGTGCCCTGTGGGAAGCATCCCAAGCCTTTCAAGTTTCTGGAAAAGCCCTCACTGGGGATTCTGGAGGGGATTCTGGAGGGAAGAGGACTCCCTTTCTGGAGCTGTGCTGCATAGAAGGCAGCAGTGGATGAGGTGTGAGCTGTCCCAGCATGGACAGAGAGCTCTCAGTCCCAACTGGCCAAGGCAGGTAGCTCAACGCTAAGTGACAGGATCATAAGCCTCCACCTCTGAGTCTCTCTTCTTGTGTGGGAATGAGGCCAGGGCAAGGACAGGGTGCCAATCTCCCTTGACCTGATCATGGGTCTAGAGGGGGGCATCCTTTCCCTTCTCCAAGTAAGGGTTGCTTCACAGATGAGCTTTCTTCTAATCACTCAGCTCCGAGGTCAGGGTGCAGATGGGGACACCCTGCCCTTATGGATATTCACCTCTTAGTTGGCACTGCCCGCTGATAAACAACAAAAAAGGCACTGGTTGTGATCTAGGCTCCAAACAGCCCAGAGACCAGAAAGCAGGAACTAACTGAATAAACTGAAGTTCTGAGGACATGCTTAGGGGGCGATCAGAGGTGGGGAGGTTACACCAGGTATTCGGTTTTTATATTTAACATTTTTTTCTGGTTTCAAAAATTCAATGCAAAAAATTCAAAAAATACAAAAATGTGGCAGGGCGTGGCGGCTCATGCCTGTGATCCCAGCACTTTAGGAGGCCAAGGTGAGAGGATCACGAGGTCAAGAGATCAAGACCATCCTGCCAACATGGTGAAACCCCATCTCTACTAAAAATACAAAAATTAGCTGGGCATGGTGGCACACTCCTGTGGTCCCAGCTACTCAGGAGGCTGAGGTGGAAGAATCGCTTGAACCCAGGAGGTAGAGATTGCAGTGAGCTGAGATTGCGCCACTGCACTCCAGCCTGGCGACAGAGCAAGACTCCGTCTCAGAAAAAAAAAAAAAAAAAAGAAAAGGTGTACGTTAGAAAGCAAGTGTTTTCAATAATCCCACTTAGCCCTAAGTGACCTAAGTCAGAGAAGGCCACTGTTAACAGCAATAGAATATCTATTTAAAAAATCATTTTTTCTAGATTTTTTCTAACATTTTAATATTATTTTACAAAAATGGGATTATGTCATTTCCCATTTTTTTTCCCATATTTTACAAAAAAAAAACATATGTTTTTACAACTGTTCTGAAACTTGTCAAGTTCTCTTAATAATACTCTTGAATGTCTTTCAAAATCAGTTCATCTAATTTTTTAAACTGTAGCATAGTTTTCCATAGTAGGGGTATACCATAAATTATTTGACCAATATCCTATGATGGGTTCTTGAGTCATTTCCAGTGTTTTTACTCATGCAAACACTGCTAACATTAATAAAACTTTGAACATGTACCTTTGTGCACATGTGGAAGTATTTTCATATGGTACATTTGTTAAAGTGGAGTTGTTTGATCAAGTAAGCACATGTGAAATATTGATGGAAACTGCCAAGTTGTCTTTTAAAAATTTATACCAATTTACACTCCTGCCAAGAGAGTATGAGACCACCTCCCACTTCGTGTTATTTCAGACAGTTAGCATTAACATTGGGTTTTTTTTTTAGGGCATTGCATTTGTTTATCACATTTAGAAACATGTCAATTTTCATATGACTGGCCACCTTAGAACTGTTTTGTTTTTTTTCCCCCAATTACAAAAGTAATATATGCAATGGTTTAAAAAAAAAAAAAAGGAAAATATACAAACTAGGTGTTCACATCTTGAGTTGTTTCCTTGAGCGGGCAGTTGTCCAAATGAACCACTCTGCTCATCTGGCTCTCCTTGTGTCCAGATGATCCATGTGGAATATTGGCAATTATTCATCTTTTAACTGTTTCCTAATCGGGAAGGAGAAACTTAGCGTCTTCTTGTTTTAAAATTATTATTATTATTGAGACAGGGTCTCACTCTGTTGCCCAGACTGGAGTGCAGTGGTGCAATCACATCTCACTAGAGCCTTGACTTCCTGGGCTCAGGTGATTCTCCTGCCTTAGCCTCCATGTAGCTGGGATTACAGGCATGCGCCACCATGCCCAGGTAATTTTTTTTTTTTTTAGAGACAGGGTGTTATCATGTTGACCAGGTTGGTCTCGAACTCCTGGCTTCAAGCGATCCAACAGCTTCAGCCTCCCATAGTGTTGGAATCACAGGCATGAGCCACTGCACCCAGCCTAAAATTAAAATTTTAAATTATGTGGTAACTAATGAGAAAGAACACGTTGGGCTTAGGTTAACTTCTTCTTCTTCTTCTTCTTTTTTTTTTTTTTGAGACAGAGTCTCCCTCCGTTGCCCAGGCTGGAGCGCAGTGGTGTGACCTTGGCTCACTGCAACATCTGCAGTTTCAAGCGATTCTCATGCCTCAGCCTCCCGAGTAGTTGGGATTACAGGTGTGAGCCACCATGCCTGACTAATTTTTGTATTTTATTTTTTTCATAGAGATGGGGTTTCACTATGTTAGCCAGGCTGGTCTGGATCTCCTGACCTCAGGTGCTCTGCCTGCCTTGGCCTCCCAAAGTGCTAGATAGAATAACAGGCATGAGCCACTGTACCCGAACTTCTCTAAAAATGGCTGGTTCCTGCTTTTTTCTTTTTTTTTTTTTGTATTTGATTGTTCACTTTTATCTTCTTGAGTTATAAGAGATCTTTGTATATTATATTAGTAATATTATTAGCCTTTCGTCTATCACAAGTGTTGCAAATATTTTCCCACCTGTTTAACATTTGCCTTTCGATTTTGTCTGGTAGCATTTACCTTACAAAGTTTAATCGAAAGTCTTTCCTATTTAGTGTCTGTTTTATAACATCCTTAGGAAGGCTGAGCACTTCTTTTTCTACATTTTAACTTAAAAAATTTGTAATTGTGGAAAACATATATAACATAAAATTTACAATATTAACCATTTTGAAAGTATGATTCTGTACTGAAAAAAATTTTTTTTGAGACAAAGTTTCGCTCCTGTCACCCAGGCTGGAATGCAATGACACGATCTCGGCTCACTACAACTTCTGCCTCTTGGGTTCAAGAGATTCTCTTGCCTCAGCCTTCTCAGTAGCTGGGATTACAGGCGCCCGCCACCATGTCCAGCTAATTTTTGTATTTTTAGTAGAAATGGTGTTTTTGCCATGTTGGCAAGGCTGGTCTCGAACTCCTGACCTTAGGTGATCCACCTACCTCAGCCTCCCAAAGTGCTGGGATTACAGGCATGAACGCCCAGTGGGTTTTGTACTATTAAATATATTCACTTTGTTGTAAAACTAGTCTCCAGAACTTTTCCATCTTGCAAAACTGAAACTGTATGCATTAAATGACTCCTCACTTTCCCTTCCCCCAGCCCCTGGCAATCACTCTTCTACTTTCTGTCTCTGAATCTGACAACTCTAGGTACCTCTTAAGAGTGGAATCATACAGTGTCCTCAAGGTTCATCCATGCTGTAGCATGAGTCAAAATTTCCTTGCTTTGTATTTATCTAATTTTATTTTTCAGAGACAAGGCCCTACTTTGTCACCCAGCCTGATGTTCAGTGCATGATCATAGCTCACTGCAGCCCCAAACTCCTGGGCTCGAGCAATGCTCCTGCCCCAATCTTCCAAACAGCTAGGACTATAGGCATGGTCCATCACACCCAGCTAATTTTTTTAAAATTTTAATTTTTGTAGAGGTGGGGTGGGTCTCAATATGTTGCCTAGGCTGGTTTCAAGCGATCTTCCTGCTTGTCTCCCAAAGTGCTGGGATTATAGGCATGAGCCAGTGTGTGGCCTCCTTCCTTTTTAAAGCTGAATAATATTTCATTGTATCTATATAACACATTCTGTTTACCCATTCATCTATTGAGTGACACTTGAAGTCCTTTCTCTTCCTGGCTATTGTGATTCATGTCACTATGAACATGGGTGTACTCTTTGAGACCCTACTTTTACTTCTTTTGGGTATAAACCCAGATATGGAATTGCTGAAACATTTGGTAATTTTCTTTCTTTTTTTTTTTTTTTTTTTTTTTTTAGATGGAGTCTCGCCTTGTTGCCAGGCTGCAGTGCAGTGGCGCAATCTGAGTTCACTGCAACCTCCAACTCCCTGGTTCACATGATTCTCCTGCCTCAGCCTCCTGAGTAGCTGGGATTACAGGCACGTGCCACAACACCCAGCTAATTTTTTGTATCTTTAGTAGAAACAGGATTTCACCATGTTGGCCAGGCTGGTCTCAAACTCCTGACTGTATGATCTGCCTGCCTTGGCCTCCCAAAGTGCTGGGATTACAGGCTTGAGCCACCATGCCTGGCCGGTAATTTTCTTTTTACTTTTCTGATGAAGCACCAAACTGTTTTCTATAGGGACCACATCATTTTCCATTTCCACCAACAGTGGTGCAAAATGATTCCAGTTTCTCCACATCCTTGCCAACACTTTGTTATTTTCTTTTTCTTTTCTTTTTTTTTGTTTTTAAGTAGCCAACCTAGCTACTCGGGAGGCTGCAGCAAAAGTATCTCTTGAACCCAGGATGCAGAGG